TGGAGCAGGGGCAGAGTGTGAGGATCCTCCCCTGAGGAGGAAGGAGCAGCAGAGACATTGTGTGATGGACTGACCCCAACCCCCATTCCCTGTCCCCCTGTGACACTGAGCGGGGGGAAGGTGGAGAATTCAGGAGCAAAGCTGAGCCCAGGAAGAAGGGAAGGGCTGGGGGAGAGGTGGTTTAGGATTTGGTTTTAGTTCTCTTTGATTTTGAATGACGATAAATTAAATTATTTCCCAGTATTTCCTCCATGTATGTAGCAGAATACCACAGGGAGTAAAACCAGGAATGCACATATTTGCTAACTAGGCCAACATTTTAACATTTAAACTGCTAAAAGACGCATACAGTTCTTAAGGGCATAACTTTAACATAATAAATAATTATTGTTATCAACCTTTTACCTTAATTGCCATATTATTTGATTCTGTTGCACCACTGGTAAATATAATTTCCCTTGAATCAGCTCCTATTAAATCCGCAACTTGCTGTTTAAAAAGAAATACAAATAAAATTTGTTAAGATAAAATACAATTAATTCACCATAGCAAAACACATGCAAAATATTTTCAAGAACACCCCCCCCCCTCCTTTGAGCCTTAAAAGGATTGCAGCTATTACGTAACAAAGTTATGCTACAGGTGCAACAGTCTAAATATCTGCATTAATGCAAAATACGTACACAGGAAACCAAAAATCCTGAGGCACCTTTGCCTAAAGGACTGGCTTCTGCTATTTTCAGCTGCTCTAACCTCACTATTTTTTCTTGCGATAAATCTGCTGAAGTACAGCTGAGCAAAGAGGAAGTTACTAAATCCTGTCCACAGTGAACTAACTACAGTTTTATCATCGCTTTTGATTTCCTTTTGACACTGAATTTCCTTGCCAGCAGCAAAACCACTACAACTGGGAGGAGCTGAAGACTCACACGCCTCGCCTTCTCCATGGCGGCCTCGCTCTCCCAGCCGTACGCGTGGGTCCTGGAGTGGGGGTTGCCATAGTAGGCTATCAAGTATGGAAGCATGCTGTCCAGGACTCTGGGATCCTGTGGGACACAAACCCCTCAGCCTTAGCAACAGGGAAGGAAAAGCATCTCTGTCCCCTCTACACATGCAGGCCCTCACTCAGCCCCCGGATTAGCAGCCCTTCTGCTGCAGCGTCTGGGTTTAGCTGAGGCCAGATATCAAAACCCTGAGGGTATTGCACGTTACATACAACGCAGGCTCTGGCAATTTACATTCTGCGCCCTCGCACGTCACCTCCATCTGCACCAAGCCGATCCCAGCAGAACGGCATTTTCTGAGCTGAAGAAATACAAGGTCTTAAAAAAGCCAGGACAAACTACACGGGCAAGAACTTTGGTTAAAATTAATTTCCTGCTGCCCCTCAAAGCAACCCCCGCACTTGCAGACGCCAGTGCAAGCTCCAGCCTGGCCCTGCCACGGCTCCGGCCTGCTGCGCGCCCGCAGAGCACGAGCGGCGGCACCG